GAGGCTATTTAATTGTTTACCTCCCTTCAAATAACTACGTGCCGTTTTGAACAGTGATTAAAAACGTCATGTAGTTTAGTCTCCATATCCTTAAACAGCGCCCATGTTGCTGTTCATCAACTTCATTCCTATAGGTAATAGTTCATTCAAGCGCACTGCGTGCCGTTAAAAAGACATGAAAATGCCACATTGTGGGAAGACGACGCACTGTGTTTACTCAGAATTTTTAAACAGCGTGGAGTTTAGCACAACCGCCCACGTGGCAAGCACGAAACATTTTTTTCTGGATCACACGAGAGACGAGACGAGACCAAGACAAATCAACGGTGTGTGTATAAACAAACAAAATCAAGACAAATCAACGGTGGTGATCTTTCACGTAAAAGAATCATCACTCTCCTCTGTTATCTTCGTTCTTGAGACGTTATCAGAGTGGCATGAATGGCTTCTCTTCCTTTCAATATCATCCCGATTAAACTTCCTTCTAACCATCACGATGTTCAAGCTCGTAACCCTTCGTCCACTTCTTACTTTCATCGCGTTTCGTCTCTATGTAAGAACGGTGAGATTAGAGAAGCTCTGAGTTTAGTTACTGAGATGGATTTCAGAAACCTACGGATTGGTCCCGAGATATTCGGTGAGATCCTCCAGGGATGCGTTTACGAGAGAGATTTGTGCACGGGTCAGCAAATTCATGCTCGGATTTTGAAGAACGGTGATTTCTACGCCAGGAACGAGTACATAGAGACGAAACTGGTGATATTCTACGCCAAGTGCGATGCTCTTGAAGTTGCTGAAGTTCTCTTCTCGAAGTTGAGAGTTCGTAATGTTTTCTCTTGGGCAGCTATTATTGGTGTGAAATGCAGGACTGGACTTGTTGAAGGAGCTTTAATGGGATTTGTTGAGATGCTTGAAAATGGGATTTTTCCAGACAATTTCGTGGTTCCGAATGTTTGTAAGGCGTGTGGTGCGTTGCAGTGGAGTCGTTTTGGGAGAGGGGTTCATGGGTATGTAGCGAAAGCTGGTCTTCATGATTGTGTGTTCGTGGCTAGTAGTTTGGCTGATATGTACGGGAAATGCGGTGTTTTGGATGATGCGAGGAAAGTGTTCGATGAAATTCCTGAGAGAAATGTGGTTGCTTGGAATGCATTGATGGTGGGTTATGTCCAAAATGGTATGAACGAGGAAGCGATTCGGCTTCTGTCTGATATGCGGAAGGAAGGTATTGAGCCAACCCGAGTCACTGTCTCAACTTGCTTATCTGCTTCCGCTAATATGGGTGGGATTGAAGAGGGGAAACAGTCTCATGCCATTTCCATTGTAAATGGCTTAGAGCTGGATAACATCCTCGGAACATCAATCTTGAATTTCTATTGCAAAGTTGGTTTGATCGAGTATGCTGAGATGATCTTTGATCGAATGATTGAAAAAGATGTGGTAACATGGAATCTACTTATTTCCGGGTATGTTCAACAAGGGTTAGTTGAAGATGCTATCTACATGTGCCAATTAATGAGACTAGAGAATCTGAAATTCGATTGTGTCACTTTATCAACATTAATGTCGGTAGCTGCACGTACTCAGAACGTAAAACTCGGGAAAGAGGTGCAGTGTTATTGCATTAGACACAGCTTTGAATCTGACATCGTTTTAGCCAGTACCGCGGTTGATATGTATGCCAAGTGTGGCAGCGTTGTTGATGCTAAGAAAGTATTTGATTCCACAGTACAAAAAGACTTGATACTGTGGAATACGTTACTTGCAGCCTATGCAGAGTCTGGTCTTAGCGGGGAGGCTTTGAGATTGTTTTATGAGATGCAGCTAGAAAGTGTACCGCTAAATGTGATAACATGGAATTTGATTATTCTGAGTCTTCTCAGGAATGGCCAAGTAAATGAGGCCAAGGAAATGTTCTTGCAGATGCAATCGTCAGGCATAGTTCCGAATCTAATCTCGTGGACTACTATGATGAATGGTTTGGTACAAAATGGTTGTAGTGAGGAGGCAATTCGTTTTCTCAGAAAGATGCAAGAATCCGGGTTGAGACCAAATGTCTTTGGCATCACTGTTGCACTCTCTGCTTGCTCAAATTTAGCATCATTGCATTTCGGAAGATCAATTCACGGATACATCATAAGAAATCAGCAGCATTCCTCTTCTGTTTTGATAGAAACTTCTTTGGTTGACATGTATGCCAAATGTGGAGATATAAACAAAGCAGAGAGGGTTTTTGGAAGTAAGTTATCCAGAGAGTTGCCTCTCTACAATGCCATGATCTCAGCGTATGCATTATATGGTAACGTGAAAGAAGCAATCGCTCTGTACAGAAGTTTAGAAGAAGATGTGAGCATTAAACCAGACAACATAACAATCACAAATGTCTTATCTGCTTGTAACCATGCCGGGGATATTAACCAAGCTATTGAGATTTTCACTGATATGGTTTCAAAACATGGCATGAAACCATGCTTGGAACATTACGGACTAATGGTAGATCTTCTTGCATCAGCTGGAGAAACAGAAAAGGCCTTAAGTTTAATTGAAGAAATGCCATACAAGCCCGATGCACGAATGATCCAATCTTTGGTTGCTTCTAGCAAGAAGCAGCAGCATAAGAGTGAGCTTATGGACTACTTATCGAGGCAATTGTTAGAATTGGAGCCTGAAAACTCCGGGAACTATGTGACGGTATCGAATGCTTATGCAGTTGAAGGAAGTTGGGATGAAGTTGTGAAGATGAGAGAGATGATGAAAGTTAAAGGCTTGAAGAAAAAGCCTGGATGTAGTTGGATTCAGATTAAAGGAGAAGAAGAAGGAGTCCATGTTTTTATTGCCAATGATAAGACACATCTTAGGAACAATGAGATACGAAGGATTTTAGCTTTGTTACTATATGATATGTGTTCGGATTCCAAATGATATATATGTGTATGAAATATTATAAATTTGAATATCAAATTCACAATCACAACAGATTCTTATTCGGTTAGTCCATTCAAGCGCACTGCGTGCCGTTAAAATGCCACATTGTTTTTAGTTCTGATATTCATCAATTTCATCGTGCGTTTGGCTCTTTCACTAAAGAACTGCATGCCGTTAGAAGCGTAGGAAGACGACGCACTGTGTTTACTCAGAATTTATAAACAGCGTGGAGTTTAGTTTATTATCTTCTCATCATGTTTCGTTTTGTGTGAAGTGAAAACACAGGAAGAAAGAAACAGAGCAATGGCAATATCTCATCTTCTTTCTCCATTACCATCTCTCACCTTCTTCCAAACCGGAACCCTAACCCTAACCGGTCGTTCTTCTTCTTCTCTGCCTCTAAACCCTAATCCCCAATTCGCAAAACCTAGACTTTCAAGAGAAAGAGCCGCCACATTCGTTCTCCAATCCAAGAAGAGTGACGATTCAGTGGACGCATCAGATCGTATATTCTCAGCCTTCTGTTACTTCTACCCATTCTTCGATGGGATTCAGTATGGTAAATTCATCATCACGCAATATCAACCTTTCCAGATTCTCATCCAACCTTTGTTTCCAGCCATCAAGGCCTTCAAGAGCTTCCCTTTCAATGGCTTTCTTGTCTTCCTCACTCTCTACTTCGTCGTCGTCAGGAACTCTAATTTCAGCAGGTACGTTAGGTTCAACACGATGCAAGCGATTGTGCTCGATGTGCTCTTGATTTTCCCGGATTTGCTTGAGAGGAGCTTCAATCCAAGTGACGGGTTTGGTTTAGATGTGGTGATGAGTTTGGACAGCACAGTGTTCCTCTTCTTACTTGTCTCTTTGATCTATGGATTCTCTGCTTGCTTGTTTGGTCTGATCCCAAGGTTGCCCCTTGTTGCTGATGCTGCTGATAGGCAAGTGCTCTGATTTTACATCTGTTCAAGAAAACTGCAACAATAGTATGTATGTACAATGTGCTGTGATTGGATTTTCTCTGTATTGGATTTGAAAAATAATGTAACTTTTTGATCCATTGAAAGGTTTCTTTGCAGACTTTTTTTGGTCTTCCATGGAACTAGAACTTATAAGGAGTTAAAAAATGAAGATCAGAAAGAGACAACATGTCATGTAGCAATTTTGATTTGATTACTATCCTCATCGCATATCTGAAAAAGCAATATGGTGAGGGAAGATCAATTCTGTAACAAAAGAAAATACACACACACCAATGGCTAGGATGCTGTTTACACATCCGCACTCATCTGCCTAATGAAAGGGACAAAGTTGTTCCAGTTCTCGACCCTAAAGATCTTCTCGTTCATTCTGAAAAATGTAAAAGATCTTACAGTGTCCCCATTCGGTTGCACACAATTCTCTCGTATTTGCCTTAGTCCCATCTGTTGCACAATTCATATACAAAACAGTTAATAATATAACCACCACTTTAACCTCATCTTATATGATAGAAGAATGCAAATTTCTCACCTCATCAAATCGTTCGCTTGTGTTTCTACCCGTCACATGTATTGTCCACTTCTTCGAAACATCGTGTATCTAGCAGAAACAAAAAAGGGGACAATGTTGATTTGTTCATGTACTTAAAGGTATGCTCGACTGTCTCAATGGGAAGATGCTAGTGTTGCAGTGCAGTAAGAACAGAGAAACTAGACCAGTTTGAAGTGTCTCTCAATGCAAGGTTATAGTGACACAACACTGAGCGGTATAAATTCACGTAACATACATAAATCTTCATATGAACATAACTGCATCTAGATTGAAAGTTTAGGAAAAAAAGTACCTGTCTGAGCAATCCTTCAGGGCTGCAAAGATACTTCTCAGGTGTTTCACTGTCCGCCATATCCAAACAGCTGGAATAGATATAAAAGAGTCATCGTTAGTAACATTGAACTCTTGCAGCTTCAATGAATTACATACATATTAAAAGAAAACTTCAGAAGAAGGCTCTTACGGGATATGCAGAGCAGCACCATGGCGAGACAAGACAGAAGCGACAGGATCATAACCATCCCTGAGAGCAGTATTGTAATAACCTGCAGTTAGTTCAGCGGGGTGTGACGATGTCTTATACCACCAATAGATTCCACCAATTCTTGCAACCAACATTACAGAGCTTTTCTCCTCTTCCTGACGTCTCCGCAAAACTTCAGCTGCCTTTGCAAGAATAGCATCAGCATGACAAATCAACTTCCCACTATACCATTCCTACAATGAAAAGCAGTTCGCTAAGTTATTATAATCCAAACTTACTAGCCACTTCCAAACACAGCTCAAGATCATAGCAATACGAATATTATTTTAGAATCACCATAGATGCTATGATGGGAGAACATACAAGAAAGAAACGACCATAATCAGAGAGAAAGCTATCATTTCCCTCCTCAAAGAATGGAACTCCAGATGGAAAGCTATTATAGCAGCCGGCATTTGGAGGATCTCTGCCTCCCCATTGAGGTTTGCCCTCTTGGGATGCCACTGCCATCAAGTCTTCCATCCTAAAACAAGTAATATTGTTCACAATCTGGAAATGTGATTCACATAGGAAAATTAAGACTTTGAATTAACAACTACTCACATGTACTTGTCATGGCATTGAAATTCACCAATTCCAGGAAATTTCCATCTCCCATCTCCAGAAGGATGTGCAGGATATCTGAAAGAAACACCGTGTAAGAAGCTTCTATTGTAGCTATTGTAGGTTTATGGTGGTAATCTACAGAAAATCAGAAGTACCTTAGCTCCCCCGAAGGACCAAGACCTATACTTATTTCTTCAATCACATTCCCAAAATATGGTTCAAAGTTTGTAGAAAAACTGAGCATAAAATCTTCATAGCATTGGACAGCAGTACGGCCCCTAAACAAAGGAAGCTGATCAACTCCAAGTGTGAGATAGTCATTGTTGGAGAATCCGTTTTTATCTCTATAGTATATATCCTTATTGACGTCTCCAATCTGGAAATTGTAAAAGAAAAACCGGCAGAGCGAAACTAATCAGCAGAGCAACAAACAGACCAGAGACGATGTAATCCAGTAAGCATCCATGAATAGAAATCTAAATTCTCCGAGGTTTTGCCAGGAAAACATGAACTATCATATTTCCTCAATCTTGTAAAGATATTCAAAGTAAGAAGCAGTATCCAAATTACCAAGCCTTTTGCTAAGCCTACAACGTACAAATAACTAAATACCTGTAATTCTAACAATACAAACCTCTCTGATCCAGAGTGGAAGACTGATGCCTCCTTTCCCACCAAACAAATGCATATTTGAATGAAAACAAAGAGCAACGTGTAACTTCAACCCTGCCTCAGTAATCAGTCTAAAGAGCTCTTCATACAATGACCATTTAAACTCAAGAGGACAAAAGCGCTCTACAATTCCCCACCAAACCTCAACTGCAACTCCATGAACACCTGCTAACTTGAGTGCCTTAAGAGACACAGTTAAAGCCTTGAGCCTGAAACGAGAACAGATAGATAGAAACTTAATTATTACCTGAATCAGCAAAAAAGGGAACCAAAAGAAGAAGTTACACTTACCATGTTCTGAAATGGTATTACATAGCAACGAAAGTAATCTGATATTTTTCCCATATTTCATACCATGTAAGGTAATATACATATATAATTCAAGTACATATGAACATTTTCAGAAAACTTAACCTTTTAATCCTTGGACACCCAGAAGCATCGATTCCAAATGTATCAATTGGCATCATCACGTAAACAGGAACTCTCTTGTGCCTTGACGAAACCAACACAAATGATCGTGATTTCTCTCTAGCATCCATGCTGTATCATGTTCATCAACAAAACCTCGATTAGCGAATCCACTTATTTCCGAACCCAAATAAAGTCTTCACCAAAATTGATTCCACTAAAGAAAAGTCCACGAACTAACGAAATGTTCTTCTAATCGCTCCAATTTAACAGCGAGGGAGGGGGAGAATTACCTAAAGATTCGGCTGTTTCCGGCGACGGAACGCCATTTCGTGATGAGTCGGCCGCGTTTGAAAGGAGGAATCATAGAAACGTTTCGGAAATAGTTGCGATTACGCCTCGTTCTCTGCTCGAGGAAACAAGATTTCAATGAAAATCCGCCGGGATGGAAGAAATTACCGCCTGAAACTCCGCGACAGCCACAACCAATTGCTCCAATCTCCGCCATTTTCGTCACCTTCTATTCTCTTCTCTTCTCTCCTTCGTCGGAGATATTTCTCTGATCGGTTTAGATGCGGAGGAAAAGAGACGGAGATGGAGTACTTGAAACGCAATTTTTGTTTCCTTTTTCTTTTCTTTTTTCGACGACGCAAAATTTATTTGCTTTCTTTTTTTATTG